AAAAAAGTATCTTTGGATGCTTATTAGTAAAGAAAATTCCACTTAAGAATATAATTTTGTAGACAACAATTTTTTGTCAGGTCCTAAAAGATTTGATATTTAAGACAGGCAACCTTTAAATATRTGCAACAACGTTTTCCTTTAAATAAAGTATTATATGAGGTCCTCTCTACTGTTAAATTCTGGCTGTTCAAAACGTGATAATGTCACAGAACCCAATACAAACACAAAAACCTCAGCATATTCATTTTTACTTTCTTTAAATGACCTTAGACTTCATTTCATATTGGCATAAGACTTTTATATTGGATTATGAATATCCAAGGGATAGCTGAGCCATCCTTTTGACATGGTGTGGATTTGGAATAGATCCTCCTTGATTTTTTTTTTTTCCTTCCTGTTCTGATGCAGTTTCTTACTGAGTGTACTTGGAATATAGCCCTGAGATTTAGAGCTTTCCTGACTAAGCTTTTCAGCTGCTTGATCTCCATATACCTCATTCAGAGGAACCTAGTGGAACAGAGCCTGCATCCTGCTGATAGGTGTTTTTGCAATTTGCTTTAGATGTGCTTTAGCTTTCATTTTCATTCACTTACCCAGCTATCTGTGAAAAATCTGTTTGCTATTCCTCATTGTATTTTATGCTTTTGTGCCTTCCCTCTGCAGCTAGAGAAAGTTGTAGTATATTTGTTAGTTTTGCTCCCTYCCYYATCCCTCATTTCACACTGCAGRGAACACTTCARCACTTCATCCTATTACAGTTACATGAAAAAAGTTTGACCAGAGACTCTTTCTTACCTTTTATCAGCTTTTCTAATGTTATGGTGTACTTTAAAATCACACTCCTTTCCTCTGTTTGAGATAACAACTTTAGGGAGCTCAACTAGCAGATTTTTTCCTGAAAGCATGCCAGATCCTWAGTAACATGCTTCCCTCCTCTGTTACCACAATTTCATTGATAGCATAGGCTGGAGGTGTGGTTTCTTCTTATTGTCTGAAAAGCTGGTGCAAATTGTATTCTACTTCAGAGGGGAAAAAAACAGTAATGATGAGTCGACTGAGAAACGGGTGAAAATTTCTATGGGTCAGTCTAAAGTCAGTCTCAAAGAGGTTTCTGTTTTTGGAAAGTGAACTATGCCTAAATTGTAATAGTTTYGAGAATTTTACTTTTGAGATGTAAGTAGACATAATTTGAAACTTGTTCCTTAAAATTTTCGTCATATACCCATCAACAAACCCCATCCTAATGAAGGTGTTGTGTTTCATTCTGAGTATTTTTCCTGCAGTTTTGATATATCTTCCAGCTGTTTAATCTACAGAGGCTTGATGTCAGCTTATATCTTAACAAGCAATCTTGAGATCCACCAGCTTAAATGATCAGAGTTTTTTCTGCCACTTGAAATGAGATTCTAGCACCTGGTTTGAAAGAGGGATTTTCTATTCCTCTGTATTTTTAGAAAAGTTGCCATTCTGACATTCATAAATCCCAGTATTTAACCAACCATTTTCTAGACACGGGATTTCCCAAGAGCAGCTTATACAGCCATGGTTTATAAAAATTATAATAGTCTTTGAAACTCGTATCTCAGACACTAAGAAAATGTTTGTCATTAATTGCCACTGGGCCATCTGTGTTGTAATTAKGTCCAGGTTTCCCTTATCTGTCCTGCTAAACTAATTAAAGCAGCTAGAAGTATTTTTAACTTAAATGAATTTGGGTATTAAATCAAGATTTTTAGTTTTGCAGAGGAAGATGAGGTTCCTTACACAATCACCATTTTAGCCTTGTTCAAATGAATGGAGAATGTGGTGGAAAAAACCCCAAACCAGGCAAAATGTTTCCATCTATATTTTAGTGCAATAGAATGAGTTGTAGRAAAGCAGGCAAATCCCTCATGTTGTGGTCTCTCTCAGGGTGCACTTCAAAGGGTCTGACAGCAASAGCAGTCACTCCATTACTTTATCTGGACTTTTGATTAAGTCCGTATCTTCAGAAGCATGTAGGCATTTAATAATTTTTAGGTGTTTAATTAAAAACATTCAAAGGAGTTTGGATGATTGAGTCCAGATTCTCAAAGGCATTTCTGAATTTTATGAACTTTCAAATGAATGTATGATTTAATCTATACTGCCTAATGACTTTAAAGGCCAATACCACATTTATACAGAGGCCAATGTTTCCAGGCAAAAAATAATCAAGCTYTTTATATATTACTCTGTATTTCTTCCTACCTGYGARTACTAAGACATCCTTCCTGTTGGAKCAAAAGGAATGGTAAAACTRATTTTCTTTTATGCRCATGTGTTGCATAGTCAAAAAAATCAGATTTGCTCAATTTATGTGCAGAACATAAGCACTGCATACACAGAGAGCATGCTTTATATGGCAGCTTCGAAATTTTGGATTTTGAAGATGCTTAAAAAATTAGCCCAACTCTGCAGCAGCTCTTTCCTATTCTTCCTTTGGAAGGCTAGGRAGGAAGAAAAGGGAAAGGGGTACTGGGAAAACATGGTATATGTGGTTGTAATGGCACACACATAAAAGATCAAATTAAGGGAGCAAGGAATGGGAAATGTGAGATATAAAGACCTTCAGATATTTGCCTTTTCAAAGCTAATAAAACTTTCTCAGATATTTTTCCCCAGTTTTATGATTTTCTGAAAGGAAAAAAGGTCACACTCATTCTTCTGTATTTTGAAAGTAAACTTTCCCTATCCAAACCCTTGGTGAAGTTTTTAAAAATCTACAGAAATAATGTTTCAGAAGAACGAATAATTGTGTCACCTCTGCATATCAAAGGTAATTTCATCTGATGTTCCTGTGTTGAGTCTAGTAACTTGTATTTGACTGAAGCAGACCCTTAGCAAAGCAGCAGATCTCGATTTGAAGTCATCAACAGATGGAAAAATTACCCCTTTCTTTTTCCCAGTAATAAACACCTTGGTTGTTAGGAAAAAGCTGTCGCTGTTTCTAAGCTGAGTTTGTCTGTCTTAAGAGTTTTATGTATTTGCTTCTTCTTATGCTTTTCTTCGTACTCTGAAAAAAAAGTCTTTGGTACCTGCTATTTTCTCTCTGTGAAGGCCTTCAGGCACTGTAATCAAATCATTTCTTGGTGTTCTTTTTGACAGACTAAATGTGCTGACATCTTTAAGGATGTCACAGAAAGATTTCTCTCCAGTCCCTTCACTTGTTTTTTGGTGCTTTTTATGTAACCATTCCAACTTTCCGTAGTCTTTTTTTTTTTTTTTTCAATATGATCAAGACAGGAATTCCAAATATCATCAGTGATGTCCATAGAAGTAAAATCATCTTTCAACTATTCTATGTCATTTAATGGAAATTAGTCCATTTTAGCAGACATTTTGAGTGTTTAGTGAATTATTGTGATACACTTGGAGATAATTTTTTTTTTTTTTAACCAGGAGGAAAACTTGTCTATCTTTATCTTATATTTGATTTTTCTTGCCATAAGAGCTCATCATTGTGTTTCAACAGTGTCCTAAGGGACAGGACAGACTGCCTCCTCTGCTGGAGGGTGTGTTGAGGAGATTGATCTAGTGGRGAGCAGAAACTCAGCTCTGACTGATGGTATGTGGCTGAGAAGGACTTACTCTCTCTTCCCTTGCAGATTTTTCCCTCTGCTTCAAACTACCACTTGRCTTTATTTCCTCAATAAGTCTTTAATTTGAGTATTTTAGAAAAACCAATGCTATTTTTAACATTTCATATTGGTCATAATGTGAAAATTCTGCCCATATTTTATTTAATAGCAAATTTACATATTGGGAACATTTTGACAGCATGGTTCAATTTCTTTTTAAGATTTTTTTTATTCTACACATCAAAGTTTTAAAGGCAAATAGACACATCTCCCTATGTGTTCATTGACTGAACTGTTTGAATCTTATATTTCTGCTGTAAATTATTAGTGACATACAGCAAAATGTAGCCACCTGTGTTTCTGTGTGTGTTATGTGTGCACCTTCTAGTTTGGACACACACTCAAAATACGAGGTTGAAGCAGTTTTGAGAAAAAAAAATCTTATTAAATCCAATGATAAATTAAAAGCAGTTAATAAACACAAGTATTTGAGGGGAAGCATTCCAGAAAGGAGTGTTAGGTATATTCCCATGTTAGCAGGCTCTTTGTCATCCCTTGTGTCCATCACAGACACAGAGGCAGTCCGCCACAGGCTGTCTCACTGGGGCCAAACAAAAAAGGGTGTCATCTCAAAAACCAGATCCTATTTTTCTGTGTAGGCTGAGACTCCTACCAGCTGGACAAAACAAGGGCTAACTTTTGATGAAAATAAGGGATGCAGAAAAAAATGCTGCTATGACAATTTTTTTGCCTACTGTGGTATCTTACTTAATAGTCATCTTTTACATCATCAGTCATAAAAGAGAGGATTGGAAAAAGCTGATGATAAGAAAGGAGAAAAAATTGGTAAGRAATTAACAAGGAAGGGAAATGACTRAAACTTGTATCAGCTGTGTTGTAGTGAGTCCAAGGAAGGCAAACTATCATATAGAAAGCAACCTAGCCCAGCAGACACAGCAACTGGAATCTTAATGGAGAATGGGATAACTCTTTCTTCCACAAAGCAAACCCAGAAACCTCACAGTCACTGACAGACAGCTATAAGAACAGGAAACGAAAAGCATTTTGATCACTTCCAAGTTTAACAATGATATTTTCTTGCAGAGGACTTGAGAATATAGAATTGAATTCAGCATTTGTCTGATTTAATTAAATGCATTTATACACTTGTTTTTCCTGTGGTAAGTAGCTTTAACTGCTAACGTAAGTGCTGAGAGACTGAATAAAGTGTGTTCATTTTTATCCCAAGGGTCTTGCGTTTGTGTACATTTCTATCATGGATGAGAGAGAAGACATAAAAAGCCTGACTATGTCAAAGCCTGACTGATAAACTGCTGCATATCTGAATGGGCATAATAGTATTTTGTAATAATGAAACCTCCTTTTTTTGTTCTGCAGGTACACAAAGATGAAGACAGCCACCAACATCTACATCTTCAACCTGGCCATGGCAGACGCGCTCGTTACCACAACCATGCCCTTCCAAAGCACCGAGTACCTGATGAACTCCTGGCCCTTCGGTGATGTGCTGTGCAAAATTGTGATTTCTATTGACTATTACAACATGTTCACCAGCATTTTCACGCTGACCATGATGAGTGTTGATCGATACATYGCCGTGTGTCACCCTGTGAAGGCTCTGGACTTCCGTACTCCTCTCAAAGCAAAGATAATCAACATCTGTATCTGGCTGCTGTCCTCATCCGTCGGAATATCAGCAATTGTTCTYGGAGGCACCAAAGTCAGGGAAGGTGAGTGTGAGCATTCAAAATTCAGTCTTTTTTTTCTCAGCTGACAATAGAACACAGGTTCAAATATTGATCAAACCTTATGTATTCCTTCTTCAAAAGCATATCTGAATTCTTGACATTTTGAAGTATGTTGTGGAACATCACAGTACAATGTGTAAATCATCTAAGTTCAGATGCCTTGGCCAAATGAAAGAACAAAATGCACTTTGGAGCACTGTCTGTGCTAGAATGTGGCCATCAAAAACTACTAGCTGACAGCAGGGGAAAATTATCAGGATTTATCACAGTGGACAAATCTAGGGTCAATTTAGGCTGAAATTTGAAATGCGGGCTTAAGGTTCTTTTTGTTCGTGGTGTGAGAGTAATTCTGACAAAATCCCAAGATCAGAAACTAGAATTCTTGGGAATTTATTATCATGAGTCATTTCACAGAACTATAAGGCATGGTGAAGAAAGGAAAAGTCAGTAACTGAAGAGAGAAAACTGAGATAAATCATACATGACAGTATCTCAAGATGTTGTTTTAAAAAAGATGTGAATGTAAATGGAAACCTGGAAAAGCAGAGAATAAAGATTGGTAGAGGAAATGGAAATTCAGGCCCTGGCAGGGAAACAGCTACAAGAACACAAAGTCAATGAAAACTGTAGGCAGACCCTGTGTAGGCTTTGCTTGAAATTTATATTCCATGCAGGATTGTGGATTTAACCCCTATAGCTCCTGAGTCATTACCCTGCTGTGGGGTTAATCCGATTTTGAGATCTTCCTTGAGAAGGAAGGGGGAGAAGCATTTTCACACACATACCCATACCCATCCCCATCCCCACACCTACTTCATACCCACAGGCATGAGTGCAGTCCAGGGGCATCTTCAGTGTCCTCAAAAGGCTGGAGGCTTCTAATGATGTCCTTGGGTTGGGATCATCCCATTAATGGATGGCTTGAATATATACACGTCATTTATTTGGTAGGAGTCTTGTTTGAGATGTAAACAACTTTTTGAAAAATTATTCGCCATTTCCTGCACTAACAACCTTTTCTATTTGGAATGGTTTCACTCTTCCCAAGACAAATGTTTATCTAAAGACACAGTTTTTTTCTGGTAGAGACAATAAATGCTGCATGTTAAGCTGTTTGACATAGATCAATGTGAGAAATCATTTTAGTAATGGCTGCTCAGTAAGGTCTGATAGATTTGGTTGAAGATATATAGATTTTGTTCTTGCTATTGGTCTTCTGTTATGTAGCTGACAGAAAAGTCCTCTGGAAACTCTTCTGCCAGCGCTTTGGGGGATCACGTGTCCTGCTCTGCAGTGCTGTAACTCTTCTCCCAGTAAAGTTTTGACAGGCTCTATAAAACAATGTCTAGCTGGGGAAACTTTAACTTCAGGCGTATTTGGGAAGAATCTCTTGCTGCGTATGAGATCTTTAAGGCCATGGGACATTGGCTCAGCCAGGTGTTTTGTGGAAGCGTGCTCAGCTAACAGAATTTTCCTGTCATTCACTGTCAGCAGCACATTCAGATCAAGGGCTTCTCTGAGGCCAGCAATGATTAAATGCCTTTTCCACGCCGTGTAGCAGGCAGCTCTTTATTCACTTATGAAACAGAAACCAGTAATATGGAACACAGCTGGGCCAAATGGTGCTGGAAATACTGGCAACTGCACATCAGCTGCTGCTGTTCCTCCCTGCTTGGCTGATCTAAGGTCTCTCCTGGGCATTTAGTGTCAATTACCTTGTCTGGTGTGTTCATGAGTTGTGCTGATAAAATGCTCAAGGGGAAAGGGGAGGATGCTCCCTTTGGAGCAGCTGGAGCTCAGGCCTGAAACTTTATGTTGTGTTGGTCAAAAACAGTTGTTGTTTATATGCTTCAGGGCCTCTGTTGGATTCACATTTGAGAAACAACTGAAATGGAAAGTAATTTTATTTTAAGTTCCTTCACCGTGCTCAGTTAATCCATTTTGTTATCGCAGTTCAGAGTCATTCCCAGGTGTGTCCTTTTGGATACATTTTCCCTGCAGAATAAATTTTACATCTGTGTAAATTTTCCTGCTCTGGCCTTAATGGAGCTTTCCTTGCTGAAGAATTGTTCAGCTACCAAAAAAAATAAAGGTATAAAATGAACTATTCATATTGCCAGTAGGGTATGAAAGGTATGAAAATGACACAATCAATATTGTTTATCTAATGTATATATTTTCTATGTGAAGATTAAGATTAATCTTAAAGGGTAGTTTATCAAACACATTATAAAATRTATTTATACCAAAATACCATATAGAATGCAGTGTTTTTTCTTAAATATATAAATATATTTGGAATATTTGGCRTTCAAAGTGGAAAACCATAGTATGAAATCTGAAGTTTATGACACTATACAAAGTTCTGCATCTTTTCAGGTAGTAAAAAAAAAAAAAAAAATTGGATTTTATTCTGTTCCACTTCTGAAGTTCCAGAAAATTATTATAGTATTGTGCATTATGACCAGAATTTCTAATGATTGTTTCCTAGTTGTAAAGTGGGAAAATGTAAATGGATTCCATAAAGTATTATGGTATGGCATTGCATATATCAAGTAATATGAATATGAATACAAATGAATTTAGAATAAGATTTTCCACAGAAAGTAAACTGCAATGAGATGTAAGAGAATAACTAAATTTGTTTTCATAATTTGGAWTTTTAAAATATTGCTGCCAGCAACAAATTATAGCAAAATATAACCAGGATGACCTAACAATTTTGATAAAAATGTGAAATTATGTCACTCGGTCTGAAGAGTCCATTTCCTCTGGGAGTGGGTTTCAATGATTTGCTGAATGTGGTCGGAGCAGCCACCCATGATCATACTTCATTTTTATCCCACACATCTGGAGGCAACTTTACTAGTTTAGGTAATACAGCTGCACCCTGACTTTAATGTTGCTGCAAAGCCATGACCTACCAAAAATAAAATAATAATTGACATGAAAACTTTGAAGATGATTTCTAGAATGAAATTAAGTAATAGCAAGTATGCTTATGAAAGCCTACATCACAAAGGATTTAGATAATTTCACTGAGTGTTGAGACCTGTCAAGTTATACTTGTGCTGTCATCTAAGTATCCTGCATCAGCCTTGAAAAATATGTCTTTTCAAGTTTCAGCTTTCACAATCATATATATTATTTAAAATAAAACCTCAAAATATTTAGCATTTTTAGCTGCAAACATTTCCCATGCTAATATTTCAGTATTCTCTATTGCCCCTTAACAGCTTTCTGATATCTAACTATGGAAATGCTGTATGATACCACAAGGATAACTTCTTCCCCTAATTGTTTTTCAAAACAAATTCTCTACAATATCTTTTTGATTTGTGAAGCATTTTTACAGCAAGGAAACATGGCCTGATTTTTTTTCTGGCTTGTCCTGACGGAGACAGATATGAAAAAGTGATGTGCAGGAGTATATTGAATCATTCTGCTTTTAGATCTGAATCAATGAAAGGCCATACCTAATAATTTATAGAGGAATGACAAATTCAGTAGGAAAAATGATAAAAAGACCATGGAACAATGCAGAACTTTACAGGATAAAATCTAAGCTATGATTCRGAGTGAAAAATCCTTGTGTTACCCTCTCTTCAGTAGAGTTGAACTGCTGATAGTAGTTGTAAATTTATCCCTTCTCTTCCCTTTTCATTTATCTTTTTACTTGTTTTTCCATATGTTTTACATGCTCCAATGAGGTCAGCAAATTATACCTGGGACATTTCACTCCTTAGCACCTTCTGTCAGATGAAATCCTTCTATAACATACATTCAGGTGGCAGCCTGTGGCTCTGAACCCTGGCTTGGGCAATGGGAAAGGGAGTGGGTGATCTCCGTGGCCCAGATCCTGCAGTCTCTGCAAAGGCTGCATTTTCAATGGTGTGATCTGCAAAAAAAGTAGCTTCCATCTGATTCCATGCACACATGAATTTTATTTGCTTCTATTTAACAGAAAAGAAGATGTTAGGAGTTTTTCTGAATGTAAGCATTTATGCGCATTCTGTTTGTACAATAAGAGGCACATGTGAAAAGATGATTACACAATTATCATCTACAGGCAAAATTTTCCTACTATCAAAACCTCCTTCAGCTTCTGCCATTCATGTTATCAAAAATCTTTCTCCTCCCACAGACCAAAACATATGTAGTTKGATTACAATGATGAGATTTCTACTTCACTGAACATGGTACTCAAACTGGTTTTAAATCTCAGTGCRATTCAAATGGAAACAACTTTGCAGATTCTGTTTTTGTGCTCTGCTTTTTTAGATCCTCCCATGGGAAAGAAATTTAATACAATATTTTGCATTTTAAAAAGCCCAAAACTCAGTAATTTCTAGAGRCGGCTGCATAAAAGCAATTTCAATGGTAACTGAAAGCTTCCTTGGAGTGATTTAAAGATAACTCAATTTATTAATATTGCACTACATGATAATCACTTTTCCTAGCTTATGCTATGATAATTATGTTGTTTAGAAAATCTAATAATAAAGCACTTTTCTTCTTTCTTCTTTCAATCCTAGACACAGCTAGCACTGAATGCTCTTTGCAGTTTCCAGACAGAGATTACGTCTGGTGGGACATCTTCATGAAAATCTGCGTCTTTGTCTTTGCGTTCGTTATTCCGGTTCTCATTATAATTGTTTGCTACACTCTGATGATCCTGCGCCTGAAAAGCGTGCGGCTTCTCTCAGGCTCTCGAGAGAAAGATCGAAACCTGCGTCGCATCACCAGGTTGGTTCTGGTGGTTGTGGCRGTTTTTATCATCTGCTGGACTCCCATTCACATTTTCGTGCTGGTTGAAGCCTTAGGGGACGTGTCCCACAGTACTGCTGCCATCTCCAGCTACTACTTCTGCATTGCTTTGGGCTACACCAACAGCAGCCTCAATCCAATCCTCTACGCGTTTTTGGATGAAAACTTCAAGAGATGCTTCAAGGACTTCTGCTTCCCCTTCAAGATGAGGATGGACAGGCARAGCACCAGCAGAGTCAGAAATACTGTGCAAGACCCAGCTTACATGAGGGAAGCAGGTGGGGCAAACAAACCTGTATGACTAGTCGTGGAAATGTCATCTTACTGTCCTCAAGAGAGAGAGGAGTCCAACGACCTGGGACTGACGCAGATTACTACTGCAGTTTGAACTCAACTCACCCAGAGAGACATTTCAGGAATATTTCAGAAATCCCAGCAGTTTGAACTAAATCAAATTTGTTATTGATAAACAAGAATATCCTGAAAACAAGCTCGAATGAAAAGGACCTGGCTGATGGTCAGGTTTTGGCACTGTGTTTGTTGTACTTGAGGCAGCACTAAAACACGCTTTTGCAGCACGAAGAGAYGGTGTTGCACCAGGAGACTCTGATAAGAAGAGTTCTGGCTCTTCTCTTTACAATACGTAACAGTATATTAAGCAACATTTGGTCATAAAACTGAGTTATACCAGAAACTTCTGCCCCAAGAGTGATTACTTCTAAAGGGTAGAGCTTGACAACTTGATCCTCTTTGACAGTGAAGAGTGYTAGGTTTCTCTGAACAATGCCAGAGCTATAATCAATATTGTCCTCAATTAATATATCTGTAACCCTTGTCTGTGCTGTGARAATCCAATTTAAGCATGATCTACCTGCATACCAAAGTGATTTYATTGTGTCTGTATATGGTAAAGCCTTTTGGCCTTCAAAAGTATTGGAAWATAAGGAGAATTGTTAGCACATGTTAAATCATCTGTGTGTAATGTTTTGTATGCGTAATTTTCCGAGGTGATTGTTTCTTTTTGAGTCTGAATAATTTAATATGCATTTTCAGAGTATATATTGARTAAGGGGCTAGAAAACTTCAAATGTTTCACTTGTCACAAAATTGATGCAAAGCCCTGTTACATTCATTATATGGAGGAAACTCTGGTCTATCTTGTTTTCCTGGACAATTTGTAAGCAGACTGGAATAAATATTTGACAAACTAGTAAAGTAGCACATGAACGAACTGGATTGATACAAATGAAATTAAATATTACTGAATGTTTTAAATGGCATTTGACTGAAAAAGTCCTTGTTTTATTGATGCCGATACAGTCCCATGAATTCAGTAATTTTCTCTGTTTTCCTGTGAAGATGGAGATGTCAAGGAACAGCTAAACAAGTTACTGTCTTGCTGAAGGTAGGTCTATGGTAAAACTAAACCTAACTTCCAGTCTATAGTCTTATATCTTYCTGATGTTAGATATTATAACTCCCACTTCTGCTGTTGCTAAAATTCAGAGGAATGCTCTCATTATCTTCACCCTGAACAGATACACCATAAATCTTGTTAATTTTGTTCTTTATACAAAATGATGAATAAGGTGGATGCCTTCATAGCATSGCAAATTCTCTCAGAAACACAATCTGATTTAGTCTCATCAGATCCAAAAGTTCTTCACACACACCAGTATAAATGAAGAGATTTTTTCTTGTTGCTGGCAGTTGAGCTCCTATGGAAGTGCTGTAGGTATTCAGCCTTCTGCGGGATTCCACATACTTGATTTTTAAAACAGTCATGTATGTCAAATAYTTTTGATATCATATTGATAAATGCAATTGTTGTTGAAACCTTCAGGATRACTTTCTGGACAAATCTAGCATTTTCTGATTGTTTTTGTATGAAGAATGAATAGCTGACTTCAGGATGTTTGCTTTACCCGGGGAAATGAATGATGCTCACACAACTGATTAATGAGTCTCACCTCCTATTCTTTCCCWCATTAATTAATTTTTTAAACATGTATCCACCTTTCTAAATTAAGTCCTGACCTTTAAATGGCCACAGAAAGAGAATGTTTAAGATAAAATTTGAAAATCCAAGGTATTAATCAAATTAGGAGCATGTGAAATGGGAAGGAACTAGACTCTAATAAACTATTTTAATTCAAAATAACCTGTATTCTCATTCATGACTTACATTTGCATATGTATATCTGGGCTTGAATAGAGTTATTGTTCTGTGAATTATATGCAATGCTCTGCATTGTAATGAAAAATCAATGCTCTCAATTTGCTAAAAGAGGTTTCTAATAATATATATATATATATTTTTTTTTTTTGCTTTTATGTTTTTAGTAAGGAAATCATTGTCTCTGTCACAGTGGGAGAAAAGTATAACATCCTAACAATTAAGCTTGCAAAGTGGTATAAGAATGTGTCCTAAAGATTTATTTCTATCATGGAACACTAACAGCCAAATTAGTCTGGACGCACTGGAAAGGTGTCTCAGAAGTTTTCTTGTCAAATTGAGCAGCTTACCACACTTCACTGACCAACAGAAGAAAACTGGCCAAGATATTTTTAACACATGAGAAAGTACATTAAAAATAATATTGTGGTTTTACTGGTGGAATCTGCTTCTAGATGATTAAAGTCCCTCACTTGCTATGTAACTCCAGGTGAATGATTTGCCTTCACTCTTATGTAGGTTCTGGGAGCAGTGAGAGGTGAAGGCAGGGTGGGAGCTGGGTAATTAATGTCACCTTCTGCTTCTTTTAACTGAGAAATCTTTCCTGCTTCTTTTAACTGAGAAATCTTTTATTTGGAAAATATACCTGGTGTTTTGGTCCAGTGCAGACCAACAGACATCAGAGAAATTATGCTCAAAATGTTGAGGAACTCCAAGTTTAGTTAATGAGCAACATTTCAACATGCTGAAAAATTTGAGGAAAATTGAGAATGAAATTTTTTTCCTGTGAAAGTCAAAGGCAAAACTCTCTGATTTGAGACAGAATTTCTCTTGGTGCTGGTAAATTAACGTAGCCCTTGCAAAGAAGTAAGGGAGATTGTGCTGGGATATTTTTTTCCCCTAATTGCTAATCAGTTCTTAATCAAATATAAACGTTGGCTGTTTTCTTCCCACTGAGGCTTTTTCTTCAGGAAAAATATGGAGATTCAGCAAAATTGATTGAATTTGGGATAACTTATGCAATCTGTCAAATAATAAAATAATTTTGCCTGGATAACTTTCAACTGTATCTTGCAGGTGTGTAGTACAATCCAGTGAGCACATCTATCCATTGCCAGAGTGAAAGACTGAAAGATATTTTAACTGACTGAATCACAGTATTTTGGTTTGAACATTTTTTTTTCTCAGACTGCATGTGGCTTGAGAACTGTTGCTGCATAAAGCACTGACATGCAAGGTGGAATGACCTGAGACTGTAGATTTTGATCACTTAGTGAAAAGTGTTTTGATGTCCAGTAGYRTGGCTAAWGCAAGAGGGAGAGCGTGCAAGCCCTGGGAGCTGCTTCTCCTGCTGCTTTGAGTAAAACCTGTCACACACTGTGTGCAAGGACTGCTCRGCTTTAGGCTACACCACTGTGRTTCAACCCCAGCTGGCAACCAAAAACCATGGTTTCTCACTGCCCAATCCCACCCCTCCAAAAAACTTGTGGATTGAGATAACAACAGGTTAAAAATGGAAACAAAAGGGAAATATACTAATACTAATGATAATATTATTAGTAATAAAAAGGAGACTGAAAAATAAAACCCCAGACAGAACAGATGCCCACAATATAATCTCTTGCCACCCACTGACCAATGCCCAGCCCATCCCACAKAGTGCCTGGCTCCTCCTGCCAACTCCCCCCAGTTTATACACTGAGCATGGCATCCTATGGTATGGAACTTCTCTTTGGCAAGACTGGGTCCTGGCTGTGCTTCCTCCTGGCTTCTCATGCACCTGCTTGCGGGCAGAGCATGGAAAATTGGAAAGTTCTTAACTCAGGGTAAGCTCTGCTTGGAAACAACTGAGCCATCTGTGTCTTAACAACATATTCTTTTGCTAAATCCAAACCACAGCACTGTACCTGCTGCTAGGAAGAAAATTAATGGTAACCCAGCTAAACCCAGGATAACTATTTATGGAAAATGATAATGTTCAGTCTGCTTTCCCTTCAATGCTGATTTTTAGTTGGCAGCAAATACAAGCTCTTTTATTCAGTTTCCAAGTTGATTTATACCAATGACAACATCTCAGATGGGCTTCATAATGGAAATACCCATCTTCTTCGTAAGTAAACAAGCCCTGGGGCAGACTGATGSCTGTGGAAATCTAGATTGCTACTTCCCTGCTAAAAGGAATACCAAAAATTCCTGTTGTTTTGTACTCCACTGCAAAGTTGCAGCAAACCCTGCAGTCAACATCCTGGAGGTGTTGGTGTCTATTAGTGATTTAATGGTGTAAAGACTTGATAGTGGGTACACAGCATGAGGAAACTGTGTTGACAGTGACAGCAGTAGCTTAGGAAAAGGGTGTTAAAGCTTTAGGAGACATGAAAAATAGGGACTGTGAACACCTGTGCCTATGTATGGGTGTAAAAATAATTTTTTGCTTTTAATTTATAAATCCTGATTTTATATATTTGTACACATATATATTATAAAGCAAACAGTCTCTCTTCAAATTAGTTGAAGTGTGCTCTAAAAGGTTTGAAAAGACCAACAGACAAAATTTAGAGGGCCTCAGTGTATGGGGATAAAGTAGACAAGATGGGTACTAAGCACAAAAGATTTGGCACAGTGGGAAACAGGTGTAAGATAAAAGGAGAGGTTGTAAACTACTCTGAAACACTGCAGACTTTCTTGGTAGAGGCCATCAAGTTCTGGAAGATAAGTACTTATTACTGCTGATGCATTTTCTTCCAGACTGACTCTCATTAAAGAGAATACTTAGCTGTCTGCCTTGAAAACAGCCACTATCATTTCAAAAATGCTTTTCTGTACAAGAAGGTTTTCAGAAAGCAACACCAGGAAGCAGTCATGAAGGCAGTCTGATGACAGACCTGCAACTAAAACTTGCTCTTTAGTTAATGCTTAGTATGGGAAAAAAATCTGTTGACTGTATTTTTCTTCTATTTCTAGAAATCTGAAAAACAGCTTTGAAAGTCTGCATCTGTTGGACAAATATTTGACTGATCAGTGAAAATATCCTTGTTCTGTGAAGTTCTGTGAGGTGGTTGGCAAAACCCCTGTTAATTAGCCCCTGGAATGGTAGAATGCACTTTAGGGATATCTATCTCCTTCTGTCTTCCCTGAAGAAGATTTTCCCATGGCCAAAAATGCCCTAATTGAAAAATGGCTTTATTCAGCTGAAAACCAGCATTAAAATGCTGCCATTTGTAGCAGGTAAGGTGTATTTTGTGCTTTTTTCCTCAGTCTGATGATATTTCTTATCTCTGTTTTGTGTCATGCTGCAAGAAATGTCTGGGGTGGACAGCTCCAGCATAGAAATTAGGCTTGTCTAGTGTATCATTCCCCCTTTTCTTTCAGCTCCTGCTCGAGTTCCAGTGTTCTTCTTCATTAATTATKTAGGCATAAAGCTGTTACCTGTAAATGCACACAATTTTTCTTTTTTTCCCCTTCCATCTTAGCAATCCTATATGTGCCTAAAACCCAGAGATTACTTCCAGCCGTATGAATCACATTAAAATACAGTGCTTTTGCCTTATGGGAGCTGTCAGGTGTTACAGTTCTGCCCCATGAGTAAGAATGGTATGAAGTTTCTTTTTTCTTTTCKGACAGGATAAAGTGACATTTAGCTGCTCTACTGAACCATGTAGTTCTAAATTGTGTTTGTGCTTTTTAAAAGTGTTTTGTTGCTGATTGTGCCATAAGCCAGATGTACATACAAATTGATTCCTCAGAGTGGCAACCATAAAAGTGAGAAGTAATAATAGTAATAGGATCACATAGAACCTTATGAAAATAATATTTTTCTTCACAAAATGAGACATTAGAGTTATTTAATTCACTTAATGAAAATAAAAGCCTGTACTGTCTCAGATCAGGGGAGAACAGAAGTCTTCCCATACCAGGAGAACACTTCAGGTATGGCCTTGGGCTTTATTTGGTTTTCTAGAGTGGAAAATAAAAGTTTTTCCAAATAAAACTGAAATTTCCATGTTCAACAAACCTTCTGCAACACAGAGAAGTTTCCATGTGCATTTTCAGAGTGTTTTCATCTGAGC